TCACGCGAAGTGTTACTGGCCGTTGGCTGTCTCGGCCTTGCTGCTGGCCTGCTGTGCAGTAGAGACCACGTGGGCCATCGTTGTGCAGCTACAAGCAGAAGGTGCATTGGCTTCAGCCGCTTCCAGCCCAGGCCTTTTTGTCATCTTATTTGCCGGCTGGGTATGGACAATGTGATAGCCCCATTATGCTGCTGTTTTCCTTCCCAGTACCACTGGAGCATTTTGTCAGATGGTTTTGGAATGATTACAGAATGTCTCAAAATCCTGTTTGGCCACCTATGACAATGGAACAAAAGATTTGGAGTCTGCCCCTTTGAGCTATAAAGGGCTCCTGCATGCCACCTTTGAAAAGGACTGGGCCAGCAGTAAGGCAGGCCAGAGTGGTGCAGAGATGCTGAGTTTCCGGTGACCCCTGAAGGGCTGAGGTTGCAGGTGGCGGTGGCGTACTTGCCACCCAGCAGCCATGCCTCTGCATAGCACACCTGCCCTGGGCTGCCACCTCCCGTGTTTAGGCAGTGGCAGGAAGGGCCCCCCTTCAGCTAGAAGGCACCTCACTGTCTGGCAGAGCTTGGCTTTAAAGAGAGCAGGAAGGAATACAGTTATGAGAACTTGCAAGAGGGCAAGCCAGGGCCGCAGTAGGCTGGTTCTGCACAGCTCCACATGCACCTTTTGAGCAAGAGATTGCATGTATGGAAGAACAGATTGATTTTTTTGTTGCACTTTTCTCGTGTAACCCTTGAAAGCGGGGCTGTAAACACTCAGGCCTACAAGCCAAATCCAACTCATCCGGGGTCCCAGCCCAGCCTTCTGGGGTTGCCCAGATGACCAGGACTACTACTTCTGGCATTTCCACCTTTCAAAATGCAGGGAGACTTCTGGAACAATTGCTGCTCAGGGGAAAGGGGTGGACTAGGGGAAGGGAGTGTGGCAGTGTGGGGAAACAGAACCCCAGGTAGTCTGGATTCAGGCCCAGGGCCAAGGTTCTGCATCCATGGCCTACTGTCATACAGATAATAGAACTCACACATTTGATCAAAAAAGGGCCATAGAAGAGGTCGTTGTATCAGGCTGCTGGATGGTCCAGGAGTACCTGATGCTATAGATTACTAAAACGTAAGTGGTTATTGACCTGGCTAGTGACCTGGGTGGGAGATCAGTGAAAACTCCAAGGATAATGAATAAATATACATGTTGCAGAGGGCTACACTTAGCAGTGAAAAGAGGGCAAGATATTCTCTGTTTCATTTGTGATGTATAAGTCTCAGCCATGTAATTACCTTTTTAAAAAATCCTTTGTAGCAACACTGTTTTTCACTGCTTATCTTTCAGAACATGTCCAGATGTGATAGGCTTCTTTTTCTTGGCACAAATGAGCCATTCTTTTAAGTAGTGGATACTCGTGTGAACACCAGGCAATTAAAATCAAAAGGAAGAAAAATGTTTATATTTGAATTGCAGCTATCAGGCTGAGTTTTGGGTTTGGTCAGGCAGCCATAACTTGCTCTGAAGTTACTTGCTAAAATAGCCTTGGAGCATACAAGATGGATAGATCTGGGGGGACAGAATGACTTTGTTTACTTGAATCGACACGTCGTAATTTCTGTGGGATGTTTGAAGTATATCTTCACTCATTTAACTAATAATCCTTCTGTTTCACATGTTGTGTCATGAGCTTTCCATGTTCGTCAAGCTCTAAAATGTCCAGCCCTCCTCAGACATGTTTCTTAGGTGGCCAGCTGTTGTATCCTATGCCTGTTGTTGTATCCTGTGTGGCTAGTTCCAGCTTCACCACAGCCAGGTAACCGTCAGCGGCATAGTGGTGAACAGAAGTCACAGGGTTGCATGTTTAGCTATTTCAACTATTGGCCCTGTGAGTTTCTGCCCCCTTTGGACTGCACACTCAGTGCACGCTGGTCCTGCATTCATGTATTATGAATCAAGCAGGATGGATTGATTTAGGGCATGGTGAGTTAAAGCAGTGATTTCAGTGATTTAGATCAACCAGAAAAATAGTTGGTTCAAACTCATGATTTAAGTCAAGCTTTCCATTGAAGCATTTTCATACATTTCCTGAACAAGGCTTTAAATCTGACCACTAAGCCTCGATAATTTACATCTACTTTATTATTACATTCGTCTTCACCTTATTTTGCATTTATGTCCTGCCTTTTTTCCTCAAGGTACTCAAGGCAGCTTACAAGGTTCTCCTTCTCTACATTTTATTCTTGCAACAACAAACCTATGAGGTGTGCTAGGCTCAGAGACAGTGGCTGGCCCAAAGTCACCCAGTGGGCTTCAGAACTGAGTGGGACTCTTAGATTTCAGCTAACTAGATCTCTCACAATCTCAGTTTCCCCTCCCCCCCTTTTTATTTCTTTTTTTTAGACAGAAAAAAGCCATAAATACAATCACAACAATAATAATATAACATAACAAGAACACAATAATTAAAAAAGAATAAATGAAAGAGTGCATCCACCACCCCGGAGACCAATACTACCATCCATATACTATAACAATTAATAATATATAATATACTTCAATTGTACCCATATCCCCTCCAGAAATTCTTATAATCTTGTACAGCTTTTGCCTTCTGTCAGTACTGCTTTTACAAAATTTCCCCAAATTTCATTATATTCATTTGCTTTCATTAACCCTCACATCCCCAGATTTTAACTTCTACGTATATAAGAGTATTACTGCCCAGAGAGCTTCAGCTGTGGGGAGGTATAGAAATGAAGTAATAATAATAATTTGCACTGTACTGTTTTTGTAAGCTGCCTTTGCTTTGCTTTCTCACACTGTATATATTTTGCAAGTTTCCTTTTACCTGTAGAGGAAATATGATATGTCTTTATCATATTCCTAGGTAGGATCTGTCTTTCAACCTGTGCTCATAACAGCTTGAGGTTATCAGCACAATCTTATGCGTCTTCCCAGAAATAAGATGCTTGCTTTGATCCAGCATGGCTCTTCTTAGACTCTTGAGTTACCTTGAGTCCAGTAGAGCTTAACTCCTGGGTCAGCTGGAACCGTAACACAAGAGTGCAAGGAGAGGCACATCGGGCAATTTGTCTCCTCTTTTTCTTTCCAGTGTCGCTCCTTTCTGCTTCACTCTGCCTTGGCCCAGGCTTGCTCTCACACAAAGCAAACCAAAATGCAGTGTCTGTGATTGGTAGGTTAAAGCAAAGAGTTACTGGGCAGGAAAAAAAAAATAAAAACTTTAAAAAGCTCACTTAATTTTTTTAAGCATCAATTGTTATCTATCCTGCTATATTATCCTGAATCCGTCTGCCTTGTAGGACCCAGCTCCACTAGCACATAAGCACAGTGACAGTTCTGTTTAGCTGTTTCTTTAAACTTGTGACTCTAGCCAGAGAACATGACACTCAGAAGCAAGAACTGGTAATTAGTCTGAACAGAACATTTTCATGAGATGAAAACTGAAATGAATATCCATATTTGATCAGTATATTTATGAGAATGTAACTACAACTTTAGCATGTCTTTGATGACTTTTAATTGTTCCTTTATTTTTAAATGAGGAATTTAATATTTTGCTTGATTTTTTAAAAACAGCACTAAATAAAACAATCCAATTTTAAAATTTATTCATTCTTTTTTTTAAATATTCATCCTGAAGCCTGCTCCCTAAAAATGAATACAGCTTGATCAAACGTCCAATTATGTTGCATTTAGTGAAAAATTAAGGAACTTTCCCCAAATTTTTAAAAAAGCATTCATTCAGTCATACTATTTTTGTTTTCCAATATCATGCTATAAACCTTTTAATCATAATAAAGCTGGTACATATGTAACAACTGCTTTTGTGTGTCATTATTAGTCATAATAAAATTTGTACTTACATAGTAACTACTTCTGTGTGTCATTAAACATAGGTAAGAAGGGCTAATAATGACATGCTATGAAATGTTTGTTTTATTATCTGAGATTCTGTGGGACTTGAGACAAATCTTTGAATGGGAAAACACAAACACAATCCAGCCAAGTAGAATTCCTTCCTTGCCTCATGATAGGTATGCGCCCATTTGAAAATGGTCAGTGTGGGATTAGATTATGTAATAACATCCTGAGCTTCCTGAAAAGCAGGATGGGCAACAAATAGTGAGCATCAACTGGAAGAAAATCTCAGGAGGATGCTGAAATGAAATGAGACCCCGCTGTTTCTGACCATGCACTGTTACACAGTGGGAGGCAAGAAAACACCGGCGTGTATCAGTGGTATGACTAGATGTAGTTCTTTGATAAATGCCTAGAAAGGAAAGGGAAAATAGGAAATTGGTTATTTAAATATCAACAGTTAAAAGTTTGCCTGCCTTTCAGCTTCGTTACTTCCCCACGCTGTCGGCAACAACTTGTAACTTGGTTGCTAATCTGACTCAGTCTTTTTTCTCTTCAACTGTGACCATGCCTTGTTACTTGTACTGTAGCTTACAGAAGTGACACACTTATTATCGGGGGGTCCAAACCTGGATATCTACCAATGGAGATGGAGATCAGGTAAATGTGCACCTGTTCTTCCAAAGCAAAGACTCGTGCCTTTTGGGTCCACTGTTACTGGGAGGGAGCGGAAATGAAACAAACAGAGGAAGGTTAAGCTCAGTGTGTGGTTGCTCCTCATTAGGCCCAGCATGATTTGCACAATGATGACTGATGGGAGATGGTGGTGGCCACCAGACACCATGTCCGACCTACTTGAAGAATAGATATCCCTAAGTTGGGAAACATCTGTGAATCCTAGTTTGCAGTCGTGTATTGGCTCAGATTCCCCCAATCACTGGTGGAGGCGGGAAGAGTTGTGGCCCTCTCCTTAGAAAGCATCTCTGGAGAGCCATAAAATGGTTACACAGACCCACCTGAGGTGAAGGAAAGTCATTAATATAAAGTAATATCAGAGTGTGTGACAGGTGAGAATTATAATAAGGAGGGGAAAAGGATGTCTCTCTAAACATTTCTCTCTTTCTTTTCTTTTGCAGACACTTAACAAGAATAATCTAATACCAGATGACAGGAGCAACTTCTATCCTTTGCAGCAAACAAATGTGTACACGACAACCTATTATCCCAGTACACTGAATAAATACGACTACAGGCCAGAGGCCTCTCCGGGAAGGACCTTTACTAACAGCTGATGATAGTCAGATCCTCCAAAAACTGGATTACTTCCTATATGATTTTTATTTTTTAAATTGAGTTTATGGACCAAACCTTGGCCCAGCCTCTAGATGTAAATATTACACAGCGGGCCTTTTATTTTCTCTTTTATCAGTGGTCTTACTTTTGAGTAGCACATCTCCTTAAGTAGATCCACTGCTTATGGATAACGGATGATCTGGTCTGGCTGTTTTGAGGGGTCCTCAGCTACAGGTGGCATTTATTGCTGTGGATATTGATGGCTGGAGATGTGCCTTTGCGTCTGATGCCAGGCTGGTCCAGGAACCCACCATCAAATTTGACCACCCTGCACTGCTTCAGCAATTCAGTGGACATGGAAGAGAAACGCCAGCAGTACACGGTGATGCATCTGTCACAGGCTTACAGGTTAACTGTCATCCACAAGCCAAGTCTCATGGAACATCTTGCTCACAGTTTGCATTTTAAACCTGTAGGGGTGGGTTGTTGGTCAGTGACATCAGCATTTCCGTTGACATGGAGAAATATATGCAACCTTCAATGGAAAATATCCTGAAAGACGTACAAAGCCAAGTTGAGGTACTTCACAGAAAAGCAGCATTTTGGAACATTTCCTGTCATGATATTGAGGAAAAAGTAGCAAGATGTTGTGTTTTGCTACATAATGCATGGGCTCTTATACATGAAAAATGATTGATCCCACTGGGGAAAATACAAAGAGACTGGAAAAGAGCCATGGAATATCCAGATAGGAAGAAACTATTCTTTGATTTCAATTGCCTCTTAAGGAACTGCTAGATCGACAGCCCTCTGTCCTTGTCGAAATCACCAAGCTTTGCTCTAATGCCAATTTTATTTTTTATAATTTTTTATTCACTTGAACAAAGAAAAAAATGTTTGAGTTCAGTTTGTCTCTAAATAATGTCTCCATAGCTTAGTCTAACCCAGAAAGTCTGCTCCTGATTCCTTTAGTGTCTTCCAGCCAGTGTGTCTCCATGAAAATACAATGTGCAGCATCATTTGCCAGTTCTCATTGCTATCAAAGTAAGAAGAAAAGTAATTTTGCTACAGAGAAGGTAACCTGGGGCCTGTAGCATGTTCAGATAATCCAGTCCCGCTTTGAAATGTTATTCTGTGTATGTGTGTGACTGTCTTAGACCAGTACAAAGCCATGGCGTCTTTGGCCAGATGATTGTCTAGCAGGAAGCACCCTTCTGAGCCTTGCTGTAATGGATGCTCCCATCCAGCGTGTCTGGCAACATCAGAGAGTTTGCCACTGTTGTTCAGCGCTCCTTGGTACATGTATAAATAGATCAATGAACTCCTGGTGCTAAGCGTTGGGAGCTTCCACAATGCATCACATGTGGTAAGCATGTGAGCCGCTCCTTGCATGGATGATGAATGCTTCCAGAGCTTGGGTTTCTCTTCTGCGTCTTCTTTCAGCAGGGACCGTGTCAGTTTGTGGTTGCAGGCCTGACTGTGGTCTCCAAGTCATTTGTTTTACATTCAGGTTTACTGCCTGGCAGTAAACTGAGTGCCGCCAACGCCATATTTAAAACAGCTTTAGGAAGGATAGTTTGAAAGATGGCCTAGTCAGGCCATTAATGCAGGCAGGAAATGCAAACTGGCAAGGAGTTCTGTTCATGAGTCAGAATGTCTTGGTTTCAGGTGGAAAGACAACCTAGTGCTAATGCCAAGATCCCATTATTAACTTATGCAACTACAAGTCATAAAACATGTTCATAGGCATCGGAGTCTACACTGTGACCCATTTCACTCACTAAAGTAGTCTGGCTACTGCTTGGGCAAGAGAGTTGAGATTGAGATGGGCAGTCCGCTAGGCTTTTCGCATTTCATTTCCATGAGCCAGTGACAGAGCATTTGACTAGTCCAATTCCTCCACTCTGGTATCCCAATTCCATCATGGGGGCTCTGTTGCACTCATGAAGCTTCTCATGCAAAACTCCCATTAAACTCACCAGCATATCAGTGTTTTCACTGCTAGCTAAGCAACATAAAAGCTCTAGCTAGAAAACAGTTGGACAAAAATTAGTTGGATAAATGCCTTTGTTTCAGAGGGTTGTGGTGAGCTGCAAAATTGTGATTCGTTTCATAACAGTATGGATGTAAATGAATTAAAGGGGCAACCTAATGCCTGTTCAAACAGCATTGCTGTTTGGAGCATGCTGGGAGTTGTAAGATTGTGCCCCTAACCTTTTATTTACAGTTACTCCACTGACATTATTTTGGCTGTTCTTCCATGAAGGAAGCTTGGTTTGCCTGATTTTTGAGCTAGATAAAAACTAAGTTTTATTTCTGCCACTTAGAGAACCCTTTTCCTCCTCCTATTTATGCAGCACTCTTGTTTCTCCCAGATATCAGAAATCATGGTAGGTTTCATCACAGGGATATTTTTAGCTAGGCTATTCTAGTTCTTGCTTCTAGGCATTTGAATGATTATACCTTTTAAAAAGTATGAATGGCAGTTCTTATGTGATTGGGGAAGCCATTTGAACAGAAAGCAGGGAGCAGTGTTGTTGGAAAGAACATCTGAACTCTTATCACTCCATTAGTATTTGGATGAGGGCACAATTCTTTAAGGGAAATATATGCAAATTAAAGAGTAAATTCCTGATGAGTTTCCTCTTACAGCTCTTAACAACACAGGATGCAGTGGCAGTCTTGCACTTTTGATTTAGTAGGCTATTTAATGCTTCAAAGACAGACCCAGGATGCTCTTGTCAGTGAAGGCCAGGCTGTCCCTGTAGGGCTGTGATGGTGAACGTGTGGCCTTTCTGATGGGCACTGTGGTCTGACGTCAGCTCCATGGCCCAGCCCTGCTCTGGGGGCCCTTCTAAATGTTCTAGGTGAGCCATAAAATAGTTAGGCCTTCAGTGCATGTCAGCCGCAGGCAGCATGGGCAATGGCAGAAATGAACGTGGCTATCCCAAACATCCCGAAAGCATCAGGTTGGGAAATATTGCTCAGAGTTTTAGTAATGCACATTATGTGCTGGAAGCAAATTTGGTTTTGCATTGCTCTTGGTGAGATAGTAATATCCATGTGTTTGGAGAACTATGTGAGTGAGTGATGTATTGATTTATGGAGGGCAACCCACTGGAAGAGCTCCCTCGCACCAAGCTGCTTTGAGACTCAGGGCAGTTCCTAATGCAATAGAGGGTGGAGGCATCTGGCAAGGGTTTATGCAAGGATTATGCCCAAAGTCTTTGTCCTTGAAGGTACTATAAAGGCAATTTCATCCCTTTTCTTCCATTAAAAAGTGGTGGTAAGTAGGCAGAGGGGATAAAAGCCTTTACATTTGCTACCAATGAATTACAATCTTCTTTATTTGAATGACCTTGGACAACATCTGTAACAGTTAATTGAGCAGCTGTGGAAACTAGGATAATGTTCTAATAGGCTTCTGTTGAGCCCAGGTGACAGGCTAGAGGAAAAAACACAAGGAATTCAGATAGTTTCAGAGCAGAGGTTCAACTAAGGGGAGTGTGCGCTGAATCCTGTTGATTTGACAAATTTTGAGTGTTTCTTCAGGGGAGAGAAGAGTGACTTTTTCAGGTTTAGTTTGGGCTTTAGTTGGGCCTAAACCTGATAGCCTTGGATTTGATCATAACTCCTGTGATCATTTGAAACCATTACTGTTGTACGTTTAAGATACAGCTCCTAATGTGTGACTCAGTGGTTTATAGGAGGGGTGTTAGAGTTTGGGTGAACGAATTGTATTTCCTGCCACATTCTTTACCCTTGCAGTTCCCTGCCAGCACATACGAACCTTTCTCCCTGGAGAACACCTACGCCTTCTTCCAAATGGAAGCAGCAGGCCTAGCTCCCCGCCATTTTGCTCATGCAGAACCCCCTGCTACTGCCATTGTTTGGATGAGGGAAGCAAGTCATGTTTACAAGAGTGCTCTGTGTGCGTATCTCGGAAAAGTATGTTCAACTCCTGATTAGCACAAGAGAGGAAAGTTAAAAAGCTGGGACAGCTGAATGACCCCCTTCCATTTTCGTTTTCCATAAAAAATTAATGACATGTTATCTGTGTTCTGCAGCTTTCTTCAGTACTGTTGTGCACCCCCATGTTTGGACTGTTAAAAACATGCCGTGCCAGCCCTGCACTGCTTTGCTCCCCATTTCTGCCAGGGGACAGACCACACGGGTGGGTTAGCAGAGCTAGCGCTTGCGTGGCCAAGCAACCTCAGTTTAAACTACCACTGCTGCAGTCTCCGCTGCCACAGAGGTTTAGAGGGCTATACATTTCGGAAGTCTTGTGTTGACTGGATTGCAGGGAAGCTAATAAAAAACATACCACTCTCAAATAATATGGACATTCCACTAGGGAAGAAAAGCCTGCCCTTCATCTGAAGAGGAGGAGGAGGAGGAGAGATGAGCGATAGAGGGGCACGCGAGTGACCGCACAGGCATTTCAGTGGCTTACCTTCAGTATAGGCGTTCTCCACGTATACCTGCTGCCTTATTTTTTTTATTTTGGAGAACGAATGAAGTTAGATGAAGATATAAGTAGGAAGTGGGAATAATTTGAATCCTTTTGGAGGTATAATTTAGAATTGTACCTTTCCTAGCATTACATGGCTTAATGCTGAAAAAAAAAATCATCCAGAAATGAAAACGACATAGCCTTTAGTCATACCAAATGCGGGATTTTCTTACACATGCAAGATATAAATGTAAAGTACATACGGTTCTCTTACTCAAGCACTGTGTATGTGTATATATGGTATATATTTATATCACATACAGTCAATATTTGTGTACTGCTGAATGTCTAAAATTAAATTTAGAATTTAAAAAAAGCAGCACTGGGACTTGAGGATAGATGTCAAAGAAGACCCAAAAGAGATTTTAACAGCAACAAAGCCTTGCTTTCCCCCCCTAGGTAAATGATTTTTTCATTGTTTAATGACAATTGAGAAGTTGACTTTTTTTGTAGCTAGAAATGTTCATCTTCCCTATCCACAAAAAAAAAAAAAACCCATTCCTGTTAAGAATGGCAAAGTAAACAATGTTTGTATTTGCTTGTACTTCATGAATAAACAGCCCAAATTGATTTAGTATTTGGTTCTATTGTTTTTAATAATCAGTAGAGGCGTGTGCAAGCAAAGAGTGAGAAGGAAGTAGAATTAAGCAAGATGAGAGTTGTATGGAACAGGGAATCTCTTTTTTCATATTGCA